AAAAAGAAAAAAAAAAAAAAAAAAAATTCCCTCATTTCTCATATAGGTTGTTGTTTTCTCCTCAAAAAGATGGCAAACTTCTAGGAAGCACAGGGCATGTGTTTACCTTCCTTTATACTCTCCTCTCCTCTGGACACAGTGTTGAGCACATGGTAGGATATAAATGCTGGATGATTATTATTCACAATAACCCCCAAAATGCTATCATCTATTGAGCTCTTACTCTGTGTTAGCTTCTCTACTAAACCTTTACATTGTCTCATTCAGTATTCACAACTTGTGAGATAAAACCAAGTATGCTCATTTCACATGTGAAAAAAACTGGGGCTTAGAGAAATTAGACAACTTGTTCAGAGTTATCTAACTACTAAAAGATAGAGCTGAATTCAATCCCTGATGCAGATGCAGTGATGTGGAGGCAAGATGGCATACGTGGCTAGCCTGGGAGAATTCTTGAAGGATGCACAATTTCTTCCTCCAGTTCTGCTATACTTCCCTCTTCCCTTTTGAGAGATCCATTGATCCTGGTGGGGAGATCATTATGCCCTCAAGTGTATAACAAGGGAAATATAAGGTTGAGAATGATTATTCTAAAATAAGATTAATTCACTCCTTGAATGTTTATTAAGAGCCTTCTATACTCAAAGTACTAGCTTAGAGTGAGTCATCAAAGAGCTATCTTTGGAAATGAGAAGTTTAAGAAGTGCATACAGTTGTTACATGAAGTGTCATTTAAGAGGAGAGAAATTACTTTTGATGGGAATCCAGGAAGCATTCATGATGGAGGCAGCATTTATTTGGTCCTTAAAGCAATGGCACTATGGAGACTTAAGACGGCAGAAATCTATCCAAAGGCACAGAAAAGAAATAGTAAATCAGGCAGTTTGTACCACTGGAGAACTGTGCAAATGAAGGGGGGTGTGGGAAGTAAATTGTTAAGATGAGTTAAGGCAGGATCATGAGGGCCTTGAATGCCAAGATCAAGAGGCTGACATGACCACTGAGCACCATTAGAGGTTTTTAAACAGGAAATTAAAATAATTAAGGTAATCTGAAAAATTAACCAGACAGTGATTTGTACCATGAGTGAATAAGGAAAAAGGGGACAGGAATGGAGGTGAGGATCAGACTGGTTTGGTAATTGTGGAATTGAAGAGGAGGAAGCAAATGTCAAGATACAACTGATGACCAGGCAACTGATTGCCTGTGAAGTCCAAGGAAAGCCAAGGATAGATGATTCTGGAAGCTGAGCACTTTTAACTTGCTAAATTAGGAATCAGAGAAGGAGCAGATTTGGAAGAAAAATGATATATTCCTTTTCAGCATGTATGTTGCATGGAGGAGGTACACATGGAAAAGATATACAGAATATTTCAAAATAGTCAATTATACACTTAGGACTGAAATGTTGGTGGGCAAAAAAAATATGTAAAATTGGAGGAATTTATTCAAAAGGTGAATTTTGAGGGCATAGAGAGACATGGTTTGGCAAGGAACAGGCATGGCCAAATGTGGGGGGATTTTTAAATGAATATGTTGACCTTTAAGGAAACTAAAAGAACAGCTTGTCTGTTTCATTTGTAGACCAAAGTTTGGAGGTAAATACTGCACTGGAGAAAGAAAACGCTATCGCTTGTGTAACGTCCACCCCTGTCGCCCAGATGCACCAACATTTCGGCAGATGCAGTGCAGTGAATTTGACACTGTTCCCTACAAGAATGAATTCTACCACTGGTTTCCAGTTTTTAATCCAGGTGAGGAACTGTAGCAGTGTATCCCAGGTCCAGGGCCACAGCCATTCTCAGGAAGCATATGTATGTCAGGGTTTCTATAATGTCTTGCAAAGTTCAACAAAGAGAATTGTATCATCAAGAGTTTTATACAGATGGTCCCTAACTTACAACGATTCAGCTTACAATTTTTTGACTTTATGATGGTGCAAAGCTATAAGCATTCAGTAGGAACGGTACTTTGAGTACCCATACAACCATTCTGTTTTTTACTTTCAGTACAGTATTCAATAAGTTATGTGAAATATTCAACACTTTATTATAAAATAGGCTTTGTGTTAGATGATTTTGCCCAATTCTAAGTGAATGTTTAAGTGTTCTGAGCATGTTTAAGGTAGGCTAGGCTAAGCTATGATGTTTGACAGGTTAAATGTATTAAATGCATTTTTAACTTAGGGTATTTTTAACTTATGATGGGTTTATAGAGATATAACCCCATTGTAAGTTAAGGAGCATCTGTAATAGAAGATGGAAACATTGACCTGGTTAAATTCATCAGTGAACGCTGAAGGCGGAATATGCCCAACTCTGTGCTGAGCTTTGTGGGAGATTAAGAACAGTTTATCAAACATGGTGACTCACTTCAAATCAGCTGAGGGGCAACTGAGCAGTGAACGGAGCCTGTAGAGATTTGGTAACTGATTGTTTGTTGACGGACATGTGGAACTGTGATTCTGGCAGAAATTCAGGACAGAAGGTCATTGTGGGTTTGGAGTAATATCAAAGAAGGCTACCAAGGAAGCAGCTGATGATTCTTAAGCATTTGTAGTCTTCTACTGAAGTAGGAAAAGGTGAGGTATTCAAAACAGGCATTGCAAGTGGAAGGAGAAAAGCACAAGGAAAGGCAGGACAACAGGAACGCCTTCTTCAGCAACGAATGAGCGCCAGCTCTGGGCCAGAAATCAACACTTCATGCATACCGGACAATAAGAGCAGGATGAAAAGTGACATCAAACGTCTAAAGGATGCACATCAGGGGATGGGGACATAGCAGAGTTGGAGAACAAAACCGCAGCCTTAGTAAAATTTTCCATGTCAGGACCAGTTACACACTCTTTCCTGAAAATGAAAAAGTAGCAATGACCATTAGCTGTAGATTAACGTAAAACTATTTGTTGTCATTAGAATGGAGAATAAAATAGAGACTATTTCCCTGAGCTAAGGAGATTTGAGGCAACATAGTAAAAAAATAGCTAATCAAATTTCTCATGATTTTTAAGTTCCTGAAATTCCAGTGTGATAGGACACACTGAATCATAGACGTGAGAATCACATATTTGGGCTGTTAGAACAATGATATAAGCAATACATTTTGAAAGAAAGATTCTATAATGCTTTGCCCACTTTGGGTCTCCAAAACACCCTGATGGCTATTCGTTGTCAAGGGCAACGTCTGCAACTTGCCGCCAATTGTTTGGCATCATTCATACTCTAGGGAAGTGAGTCATTTGGTTATGGTGTAATTTAGCTTCCTGAGCCAGGCATTTGAATACAGGAAAACTCATGTATATGCTCACATGGACTCCAAAAATAACTAGCGATGAAAGGTTCATCCAGTCAGTATTACCTGTACCTGTGTTCTGGACATTCTCTATTTTGTTGAAACTATTTGGGTCGGTGATCGCGTGGACCCTGAATGGGCAGCCTTCCAGTACTAAGAGAGCATAGCCGCCCTGGTGGTATGACAGGTGCCTAATTTGGGGTTCCCCTCCCAGATGTAGGGTGGGAGTTATGTGGACTTAAGTCTAATGACTCAAGTATCTGGATTTGGAATAAAAATATTTGATTTAGCTTTGCTTTTCATTTTTTTACAAGCATTTATTATGTACCTCCTTTTACTCAGCATAGCAGTAAATACTAAAGACATGAGTTATAAGAGTAGAGATAAATTTCACTCACTTTGGAGTGATCAGTTTGCATCTGTAACTGGGATTAAATTTGTCGGGTCCGCAGCTGGCGGCTGACCCGTACAGCACTAGCCTCATTCCTTCTGGTGAGCGAGCGAACAGGCCGGATTACTCTTTCCCTCCAGTCCCCTTTGGAAGGAGACGGGGGAAGAGAGCTGTGAAGA